CGGGTTAGGGAGAAGGGGCTGCGACATGGCCTTACCCCCTGGAGTGCTTTTTCACTTTCCCTCTCCTTTCTAATTTTTGCTGTCTCTATAGCAAAAATTAGAATAACAAAACAAAATTACACGTTCCAGACTCATGAATAGACAGAGAACTGAAGCCCAAAGCAATAAAGCAATATGCTGTGGATCATGAAACAGCAGATGCAAAACTGAAGCAAGCAACCAGGTTGCCAACTCTAGGATTTTCTTTTCTTTTTTTGTCATAGGGGTCATGTATGAGGGAAAAATAGAGCAGAGAGAGAGGAAAGTGAGAAATCACCCCGTAGGGATTGGCCATGCTATAATTCTTTCTTGTCTATTCTCCTCTGGGGGTTTTGGGCACGCACACAGGCCCAGCATGAGTTTCAACCCACTGGGTTTCAAGCCCCTGGATCCAGGACTTGAACCACAGTTAGCTATGTGGAATCCAGTGCCTTAACTACTATGCCACCTGCTGGCCCCAACCCAGCTGGGTCCAGGACTTGAACCACAGAGTTAGCCATGTGGGATCCAGCACCTTAGCTACCATGCCATCTGCTGGCCCAGGATTTTCTTAATTATATAATTATGTGCAATGTGGGGAATTTAGAAAACACAGATCAACAAGAAGATGAAAAATACATATATTCATTCTTAAAAGTTAGATCATAACATGAGCATTTTTGTAACTTCCTTCTTTCATGAATATGTTTGCATAGTTTGAACATCCTTCCACATCACTATACTTCTACTTCAGTATTGTTTACTCCTTCCTCCATGGTACCATAATTTAACCATTTTCCTCTTGTCTAATATTTGTTTCCAATCAAAGAAAAAAAGATTTTTTTAGTCACAAGTTTTACAAATTAACTTTTTTGATTTTGCAGTTAAAAGGTTACCTTTCTTGCAGTGTGAATAATGTTCATTGAGCTGGCTTGTTACAACAAAATGTATTTATATGTAAAAATCTCTGCAGTGAAAAAGATCCCTTTTGTCTCCCTAAAAGATTTTGGTTTGGTTTGGTTTTAATTTGCTAGAGAGTGTGTACACTCACCAGAGAGAAACAGAGACAGAGAGAAAGCACCTCACAATGGGGCATGGTCACACTGCAATCCCTTCTCCTCCATTTTGAGATTTGGGGCACACACATATGCCCAGTATGTTTTCCAGACAACCAAGGCTGAGATTCAAACTATGCAGTTGGCTGTTTAGGATCTCACTTCCTCAACCACCAGGCCATGGGCCAACCCAAAAGATTATCCTAATTTTTTAATTTGCCAGAGGGCAGGTGCACCTGTTGGAGAGAGGCTTGAGAAAGCACTCCTTGTAGGGAATGGTCACACTGCAATCCCTTCTCCTCCAATTCTCCCTCCTGTTGGGATTTTGAAGACGCATGCACATGCACCCTTCATGTTTCTCAAGTCAGGACTCGAACTATATGGTTGGCAAGTGGGATCCAGCTACCTTAATCACCTTTGTTAATCACTAGGAAGCCACTTTTGCATTTAATTACAATGTATTATTAATCGTCCACTGAGGTATGAATACCCTAAATAATTTCCTGAATTTGTGCAATCAGTAAATATTCCATTGTCTTCTACTCAAATTTGCAAATGAGGGAAAGGTGTCTTTCTTTTCTTATTAGTCTATAAATTCAAGAATTGAGGTTTCCTTGGTAACAATAGATAGCAGGGTAAGCACCTGGGCAGGGTAGGAATTTGCACCTCTGTGGAGTATACTAGCAGTGTTTCTGGAAGGAAGATGCGGTTATTATCAGATTATTATGTGTATTAAGGTTTTCTTTTTAAAAAGCAAAAAGACTGTTCACAATTAATTGGAAAATATTTATTAAGCATCTCTTCTGTTCTGGACACATTGCTAGGCAGTGGAGAGAAGTGCTATGCAGGGTAAAACAATCTAATGGAGAGAAAGCATTGGTCAGATAATCATCCTATTAAATATGTAATGATGAAGATAGGTGTTCCAGAGCGGAAGGGCATGATGCTTTGAGCATCCTGACCTGGACTGGAGTCAGCAGTGACTTCCCTGAGGAACTGACACTTGAGCTGAGCTCTGATTGACAAAGAGGTGCTGATCAAGTAGAGAGGAGTGTTCAGAGGTCCCCAAAATAGAGCATGGCAAGTAAAGACTGAAAAAAGCCCGTGTGGTTGCAACAATTAAAAGTGGTGGCCAGACTGTGCAGGGCCTCATGGGTCTTGGTCAAGAGCTGATTCAGAGGACTTTGTCTTGAAAGCTGTAGGAAGCCATTGAACAGTTTTAAGCATAGGATGACATGACACCTGAATGTCCTAGGGACATCTTTAATTCAACATGCACAAAATCCATTTGAATTATCCCTCTTATTTTTCAGTTTATATAATTGGCACTCTTGTAGTTAGCCAGTTAATCATTCTTCTAGTTAACCAATTTAAAACTGCCCTCTCTCCATTTTTGCTTCATCCAATCAGTTATCAATTTAGTCCTAAATTTCTCTGATTCTATCTCCATGGTAACAAGTACGTTTTGTCAGTATCATTCACGTTGTCATTTCAATTTAAACGCCAAAGAAGGGTTTTTAATAGTAGCCTTGTCGTTGGCCCTACTTTTCCTCCTACCCACTGCTACCTTTTCCCCCAAAGAAACTGAGGATAATTTCCTATTCATCCTTCAAGGTCCACTCTGACTCCAGTATTGTTGTACCTTCCTGTAGGGTCTCCCAGCGCTTAATCTGACTTCCTTGAGTTTTGATATGAAGTAGCATAAGTGGTGAGACTCTGCTCCTCTGTCTTCTATTTCCTATGATGAGTTGTTAGGGCCTTGCACACAGCACTGTTCAATAAACCTTGATTTGAATGGGTTGAGAGAAAGGCTAAGGTGGATTCTGTGTCCCTTTACTCAGAACAAGCATTCCCTGGCTGACTTCCGCTAAGGCTCCTTAGGCTAGGAAGTAGCAGGCAGCTTCACATGTGCCACGTCATGCCCTCACTTCCCAGTGTTGTGCTCTGGTACTCAGAGAAGGGCAGAGATAATACTTCGGGTTGTGTGTATATATATATATATAACATTACTTTTTAACCTGTAAAAGATATGAATCTTGATTAAACAGTTCAGAAAATCAAAGCAAAAAATGTGGGAGTGACATTAATAAAGCCTTAGAAGTGAGAAGTCCCTTAAAGCTTTTAGCAGTCCATTTGTGACAGACAAACAGACCCACAAAAGGGCATGACTTCTAATTAGAGGGGCGAAGGAGTGTTGTGACTTGATCACTTGGATAAGGATAGAAGATTTTCCTGACTACCTTATTCAGGAGCTCTCTAAAAATAGAAGTTCATTTACTCTGACCTAAAAAGTAGGCATAATGGTTACGTTGCTAGCCTCCTATGTAGTTGACCACAATTTGAGTCCTGGACCCTGTGGCTTAAAATTCATGCTGGGCGCATCTGCGTGTGTGCCCAAAATCCTGAGAGGAGAATGAAGGAGAAGGGATTGTGGCATGGCCATCCCTGGGGAGTGATTTCTCGCTTTCTGTCCCTGTCTCTCTGGCGAGCCATGTGCAAAAATTTCTCTAAAATTAAAAAAAAAAGTAGGCATATCTGTGGATAGATTGTGCTTACTGGCAGCACTTCTCAAAGCTTTCCTTCACTCAGGAGACCTGAAGTGTGTTGCTGCAGCACTGTTCTATCATCTTGTGAGATAGATAAGAAACTAGAGCTCTAAAGTCTCCAGCTATCTCAAAGTGTCAGAGGCCTGGGACCCTTGGACCAAACTGGCTTTAGGGCAGGAAAGGAGACAGAGATACCATTCCATACATGCAGACTGCTCTCCAGTTTACTTAGCACTGTTACCCATTTTCTTAGTTATCCTCATGAAAGCCCCATAAAATGGGTTGGGCAGTTAGCCTTCATTCTGTAGATGGGAAAACCAATGCCAAAGGAGCTGTCAGAAATAGAACCAAGGTCTTCTGACTCCTTAACACATGCTCTCTCTACTCCACCATACCACTGAGTTCTAGAGAAAGGAGAAACTTTTTTTTTTTTTTTTTTTTTTTAGAGATTTTTGCTACAGAGAGACAAAAAACAAGAAATCACCCCCCAGGGGGGATGGCCATTCTTCAATCCCTTCTCCTCCATCCTCCTCTCGGGATTTTGGATATGTACACACATGCTCCTGGCATGAGTTTTAAGCTGCTGGGTCCAGGACTCAAACCTAGATCAATTATGTGGGAGTCCAGTGATGTAACTATTATACAATCTGCTGGTCCCAAGAGAAACTATTTAATAGCACTTGCCACTTAGGTGAATGGTGAAAACTGATAGGCCCAGCATGCTCAGCCAGTGGCTGAGTCTGTGCCCCTCTGCTTTTTGTCCACAGAACCATGGGAGTGTTGATGTCCAAGCGGCAGACAGTAGAACAGGTACAAAAGGTGAGCCTGGCTGTGTCTGCCTTCAAGGATGGGCTGCGGGATAGGCCTTCTATCCGACGCACGGGTGAGCTACCAGGGTCCCGCCGTGGCACCGTAGAGGGCTCCGTCCAGGAGGTACAGGAAGAGAAGGAAGCAGAGGCAGGCACCCCAGTGGCCCAGGAAGAGATCAGTGTCAACCGTGCAGCCTGGGAGCGGCTCCGAGATGGACGTGGAGTGGAGCCAGAAGAGTTTGACAGGACCAGTCGTTTCATTGCTACAGAGAGACAAAAAACAAGAAATCACCCCCCAGGGGGGATGGCCATTCTTCAATCCCTTCTCCTCCATCCTCCTCTCGGGATTTTGGATATGTACACACATGCTCCTGGCATGAGTTTTAAGCTGCTGGGTCCAGGACTCAAACCTAGATCAATTATGTGGGAGTCCAGTGATGTAACTATTATACAATCTGCTGGTCCCAAGAGAAACTATTTAATAGCACTTGCCACTTAGGTGAATGGTGAAAACTGATAGGCCCAGCATGCTCAGCCAGTGGCTGAGTCTGTGCCCCTCTGCTTTTTGTCCACAGAACCATGGGAGTGTTGATGTCCAAGCGGCAGACAGTAGAACAGGTACAAAAGGTGAGCCTGGCTGTGTCTGCCTTCAAGGATGGGCTGCGGGATAGGCCTTCTATCCGACGCACGGGTGAGCTACCAGGGTCCCGCCGTGGCACCGTAGAGGGCTCCGTCCAGGAGGTACAGGAAGAGAAGGAAGCAGAGGCAGGCACCCCAGTGGCCCAGGAAGAGATCAGTGTCAACCGTGCAGCCTGGGAGCGGCTCCGAGATGGACGTGGAGTGGAGCCAGAAGAGTTTGACAGGACCAGTCGTTTCACGCCCCCTGCCTTCATCCGCCCCACCCGGAAACTGGATGATGACAAGCCTCCAGATATCTCCTTGGAGCCCAAAGAACCTGTGAGTGTTCAGTTAGGGCAAGTTCCTCAAGTCTTAACCCCTTCTGAGTATCAGGAAGCAAGACAGGGAGACCCAATATAGTTTGGGGGATACTCAAAACCAGAAAGATAGAGCTGAGTCCAGACCAATTTTTTTATTCCATAAGAATAAAAATGTTAGTGTCGGGGGCCGGGCAGTGGCAAAGAAGTAAAACAAAGGCTCTGTGAGGCAGTCCCACCTTGGAGGGTTCCCAGTTCTGGTCTGGAGGCCTCCCTGAGTACTCCGGGTACCTGCGTGTCCATAATCCGAGGCTGGATGAGGCTGGGGGTAGATTACAATAGGGCCCTATTAGGGATTCTTTCTCTTTGTCTGTCTGTCTGTTTTTCTCTCACTCATGGAGGAAATAAGCTAACTTGAAAAAAATGTTAGTTACATCCTATATTGGTCTTAGTGGAAGACTGGCCAGTGGGTGATAAGGAATGGCACCATGGCAAGACTTCTGCCACCCTCTCACCCAGGGATTCTTAGAACACACATAGCACTGCCCCCTGGGGGAGGTGTTTGGAAATCTGGGAGGGGGTAGTTTAGGGAGGTCACAATAGACTGGGGATTGCTACTGGTGTTTGGTGCCAAGAAAACCAGAGATACTAAATGTCCTGCAATGCGTGGGACAATCTCTCACAACAGATTGCTTTTTCAGAAAATGCCAATAGCATCCCTGCTCAGAAACATGGTCACAAAGGCCTGAGCAGCTGGAAGAGCTTCCTGGTTCTGTTAGTCCAGGAAGAAAACTCTGTCAACTTAGTACTGTCTTCATTAGGAGCTGTTCCTCCAGGCTGCTCCAGGGAGACAAGCCCCATACAGGTAGCACTGTGCTTAGTGGCCCTAGGCTCTTGCTGTCTGCACTTACACATCCCTATTCACTCCTGCCATCTTTCCCCAGGTTGTCAACGATGAGATGTGTGATGTCTGTGAGGTATGGACGGCTGAGAGCCTCTTCCCGTGCAGGGTCTGCACCAGGGTCTTCCATGATGGCTGCCTGCGCCGCATGGGCTACATCCAAGGAGACGGTGCAGCAGAGATGACCGAGATGGCCCACACAGAAACAGGCTGGAGCTGCCACTACTGTGTGAGCCTGGATTGTAGGGACAGTGGGCTACTGCGCAGCAGAGGACTTGATGCTTTTCCTAGAGGCCCAGTCTTAGTACACATGTTTCTAAGCAGTGACCTGGAGATTTTTTTAATACTACATGCCAGGGGTCAGAGAGCTGGGATGGGGTTTCCCCCCAAATGTCAGTAGCTCTAGTGCTATTGACAGGGATGCATAATTCTTTGTTGTAGGGTACTGCAGCTACTAGACATTGTAGGACATTGTAGGATGTCTAGCAGCACCCCTGACCTCTACTCCTCTAGATAAGTAGTACACACTCCCCATTGTGATAACCAAAAATGTCTCCACACATTATCACATGTGTCCCAGAGGGGGCCAAATTACCCTCAGTTGAGAATCACTGAGCTAAGGGACTAACTGGATAGAATGAAGTCTTACTATTCAAAGGAAGTTTTGCTTGGAGCAGTGTTTTCTTTAATAATTGATAGTTGTCATTCATTGTATTCATCTGAAAAACCAACTTGAGATTCTAACCAGCTTCC